ATTGGCGAGTGACGAATCAAAATGAAATGATATGATATATATATAATGATATATATATATATATATATATATCATTTTGATTCGTCACTCGCCAATCGTCGAATTAAATGAATCCAAGAAATTTCGGTCAGGTTTCGGAGAAATCCGTCCATCAGCTCGGGACCCGGACGATCTCGCGAGCGTTCCCTGTAAATTTTCCGCGGACAGACGCAAAAAAAAAAATGGACAATTTACGGCGGCAATAAAGTATCGCGGAGTTTCATTTACGCGCCTCGTAATCGTTGGCGAAAAACGTTACGCTTCCGCTGGCGATTTTATGCTTTATGAATGGTCGCCGTCGGGAAACCGCTGAGAAAATTTCTCGGATGGTAGCCTTTTACATATACTCGCGGGTCCGCGCGGTAGCCTGGCCGAGGAATCTCTCCTTCGCTATTCTTTACGAGAGAGAAAACAGTGGACTCTGGAAGGCATCGGGGCCTTCTGCTCCGCTGGTTAGCTTGACTGCGTTTCAACGGCTGGACGGGGAGGAGAGGCGGTATGACAATCACGTAAACGCTCGGAAACGACGCCGGTTGAGTCCACGTAGATCAGAAGACGGCGGCCGCGTTTGTGCCGCCGTTGAACGATGCACATAAATGAATAGTCTTAGGGCGTTCTTAAACGGTCCTCGTCGTCCTCTATCTTTGATTTAATTAGAAGGTTATGGCGGAAATGACGCGATATTCAGCCCCGTACTTTACTGCCGGATTAGCTTGCCTTTTATATACCCCGGTATATATGTACGCGGTAAACCACTGGCTGAAGAATGATAACTGCTTTCCATAAAACACGCTAGATTACCGGTGTTTCCGCGGAAGGCTCTAATCGGCTGTTTTCAGACGGCTATAGCGATAATCCCCTTGTCTTTGCGAAATATCGTTCTCCCTATTAAATTCGTAAAAATCGTTCCTTTACCGTCCGAAATTATGGCTTTAACGGATCCTGCATTTCGTCCGTGATGCGAAATGTCGTCGAGGATTGTTAGTTCGAGGGAATGACACACCCAACTTGACGATCTTAAATTGCTCGTAAAGCCGCGAAGCCCTGTAAAACAAACCCTCGAGACGCAGAAAGGATCCTCGAAGTATATTTATGCTCCCAACGAAGGCCCATAGCAGAGGTCGGCAAACTTATCATTGAGAAGGATCGAATGGGACGAATTGTGAGGAAATTTTATTTATTTTTTAGAAAAATTGCGGGACAATATTTGTACACTCTTTATTCACAATGGGCAGAATGTAATTGCATATAAATAGATTTTTGTTGGAAATTAACGAACAGTATATCGTGGATTCGATGTACTACCAAAGGATGAGAACGTTTACTCTTTAGTATGACACAATACTGTTATGTAGGATTCGTTTCTTTACAATAATTATTTCAAAATTCGTACATATGTACATATGTTACATATGTTATTATTAATGCAAGGATTATAGTAGCATTCAGGATGTCCAGTGTCGAGTTAGACCTATTCTTTTCAACAAATTCATAATTTTTCAAAATCAATCGCTAATGCTGAAGCATATTTAGGTGGCTAACCTAAAAATTATTATATTAAACGCGCGAAGAGAACTCAAATCGCACGATCGAAGCGTTCCCTAGCTCCTATAGATCAAAATCAACACGATCTTCCGAATCAAGCATGATCAAACGCTACTACGATACAATAATGTCGTTCGTCGAGTTAGCCTTCTATCTTTCGATCGATTCATCATTTTCTGAAATGTTTCACTACCTAATGCAATTTTTCTCAGCTCGTGCGAACTTCTCTCGTACAACATACGGTATCTTCGTACCGTCGTGATCGATGCCGCTTGAACAAGCTGATCGCGACCTACCAGCACCGTCGGAGATGGCATATGTATAGCTGTAAGAAGTTCGCGTAGGCGGTTGGTAAGCCGTATTGACGTTACTTAACCACTTAGGTTACTTACGGCCGGTGCTGTTATTGTCGAACGTGCTAATAGATTGGCGGCTTCCATTTCTTCAGTAATAATAAATTATCAGGCCTACCGGCAGCGTGTCGTAACGCGAGTAGACTCGTGCCACTCGGGGTTCGAAGGGTGAACCACCTGAAAAAAAGCGTCAGGTAGCGGCAGGGCAGTGAATAACGAAGGGTTTTCCAAGAGGTGCTCTACGAGTTTGATTTTTAATGCGAATGAGAGTGGATTGCTATGAGATTTAGAATCTGAAAAGAGAATTTCAAATAGGACGTTGAATTCTATGGTATATGTTCCTTATGATTTCTTTTATATTACGTTGTACAAATACGCAAGAATTTGAAAATACTAACGTGTCCAATTAGAATTAATTCAACTCTTCGTCTATTACTTTATCAAGTCTATATATTCAGTTTTTGGTAATTTTGTACATACTACCAGGTTATCATTTTTAGACTCGTGAAACTTTGTATAAATTTAACGAAGAAGATCTGAAAATATGATTGGTGATGATGATGATCCTTGTTTTTTTTTATCGAGTCCTATTGTTTCTTGAAGCTTCTTAAATTCAGTATTACAAAATTATTTTATTATTTAAATCCAAAATCAATTTTAAAATTAGTAAATGGCATTATTACGTCAGAGAAACCGTGCACCTATTATTTATCGAAAAGTCTACGCACTGACCCTGTATTGTGAGAACCAGGGAAAGTAACAAACTCGAGTCGCGAAATTCTGCGGTCACGTTTATTGAAACCAACGAACGCACGAAACAAGGAAACGGCAAGTTCGTTGTAAATCAAATCGAATATGAAGCCATTAAACTTTCCACGTTACAGACGGTACAACGTTGCAACCGTTCTTAATAAACATTACGTATGCAAGCATTCGTAGCAAAAGGTATCGAGATATCGTTAGAACGTGTGCGAGTCCTCGGTTTTACGGCCCACGACGGTGGTATTTCCATTTCATCGATTGGATGCAGAGGTGGATTAAATAATATTTCCTGTAGTAAATAGTAAATATTAGGTACACTGGAAAGTAATGTCGTTTCCTTTGATATTAAATTCAAACAAATTTTGAATATATTTCGATTTTTAATCAATTATGTAACGTCCCTCGTTATCAACATCCTTTTGCCATCTAGCGTGCAAATTTTCAATGCCCGAGCGATAAAAATCGAGTTGATGAGTGATAAACAAGTATTTAAAATTCCAAAAACGACATTAATTTCCACTCTTAAATAGTATACAGACAATCCTTCAGAACAGAAACGAATTTCTCAAATTAGTCAATTAATTAAAAAAAAAAAGTTTCTGAACAACATAGTGGTGTAAAAATTAAACAATAAAAGAGAGATGACAAGCACGTTCAAATAGCTACCTGAAATAGTTAGAAAATAGATTTTAACTATACCTGATTGTAATAAAATACTGAAGATATTAAAAAATCAGAATAAAATATTTGAAACATTTACAAAATTTATTTGAATAGTAATAGTATATTTTAAATACTTTTCTGCGGAGTTTACTCCACCTTGATCGATAGCCATCTTCCCGCGTAAAATCTTTGAGAGACAGTTTCGTCCTTTCACCATCCACGACGTGTCGGTGCTGTTTAGTCTGCGAGAAATAAATAATTTATTTTTTTCAAGTCATTTCGATCGAACAGGAGCGTCACGAGTGCAAGTCGTATGGCCAAGCCAGTTCAACTTCCTCCTTTCGACGGGGAGAAAGTCATTGTTGTTCGCGGTTTCAATGAAGTTTAAGCAACCCACCACGGTTCACGGATAGATCATTGTGCCTTTGTGGCGCCAAGACATTGTTACACCAACGCGGTGGGTGTGCATTGTTTTATGGGGGCTCCTGCGATGGTGGGATTTCCCTGCGTCTCAAAATGCACGCGTCTGGTGCTCGTATAAAATAAACGTCTCAATTATCGACATATCTTTTGGCAATTATCGCTTTTGAAGGGTGATAGAACCTTCACTTTTTGTTTATACTATAATATGAGGCGATGGAGTATTTGATAGGTTGCAAACAGTGGCTTTTGTTACATTTATAAATATAATAGATTGTCTATTTCAAACGGTTAAAGCACTGATCACAGACAGATCTGCATTCGTGTGAGGTAATTTTGTGTTTTGGAGTATTCAGACACCATGCACCATATTCAAGATTTTTTCGAACCACCTGATTATCATGGATGGCTACGATAACGTTTACCTGTACTACTGAAAGAAGTACTACTTCGATCCCTTGCAATATATCGACATGTACGTTTCTCTATATTTATGTATCATCATCAACTATTTTTATCTATCGATAACTGAACAAAATGAACGTGTTTAAAGATTGATTGACGCGCACAGTTAAATATAAAGTTAGCGCATTAAACGCGATAGATTCTAACGGAGTCTTAAATGCTCTGTCTACAATGTTAATAGCACATTTACCACGTTTGTTCGCGGCGCTATCTCTCTATTTTTATAGACAGAGGCAACAACGTTTCACTTTCATCTCGGATGACTCGAGCAGACGATGTCGGTGGATCGAATTGCGATCCGTCCGCATTTAACACGGGCTGGATCGTGATTTTAACATTTATTTCGAGCACGTTCCGCTGGTGTAATCGAAGGAAACTCATGCAGCCTGATACACCTACAGTCACGTACACACCGAGTCTGACAACACGTGCCGTGTTCTACTTGCATGATCCGCCGCGATCGCTCTCTTGCACGAGTCTACATAATCAGTACTCGCTCGTACCAGTTTATCGTTTCAGACTGAAAAATTCATCGCGAAAATCCCATTCTACCCAGGTAATCCGACGTACTTTATCAAGCAATTTATTGAACTCAATAATAATTATAATATAATTGTGTCTTGCTCTTTCTGGTGTTCTTAGTATAATCGTTAAAGGCGGGTATAAATATTGAATTATTTAGAGTAATCAAAACTTTTGTAAAACGTAAGGATAATTTTTCTAGAACGCGTACGAATATAATAATATTGGGTAAAGGAAATTATTAATTTCTCTATTTCTCATACAGTTGCTCATTCTATATTTTATTTTGGTTGCACAACACTTCAGGGTTCTTCTCGTGAGCCCTCTTCAGCCTTATACAGGGTAGATAAATAATTTTAAAAGTTTTGTACATATGGAGACCCATTGTAATAATATTATGAATATATTAGAGAAGTGGCTAACATATATTGACGATCCAAATTAAAAAGAGTCACAATGTATTAAATAGAAGTAGTGAAAAATGAAGAGAAAATACCAAAGAATAAATCTTCAAAAATTGTGAGAAATCGATATACAAGTCCAAAACTTAATAACCGACACTGCAGGATGTAGACATCCTGAATAGAGAAGAGTTACTTGGGAGAAACATGCTTAATTAATTTTCAATCGAATAACTGTTAGTTATAGACAGCATTTCAAGTGGTACATTATGGCAATAAAATATAATACATTACGATATAAATTGCAAGAATGTAATATGTAAAGCGGCCGTGATCAACAAGAGACGACGCGAAGTAATCAAATCGAAGCAGTTCTACCAAGGAGCACTCGATTTATTCGAGGGAACGTGAGAATTTTAATTCTCGATGTTGCGTAATTCGCTTTTAAAGCGTGCTAATCAGGCGTTAAAGCGGAGGTAATAAGTGGAGCGGCAAGGAGAGCGGCAATTATTATTAATTACACCGTATACCGCGTGGAGATTGACAGCTTCCATATTTAAACTGAAATCCCCTCGTTATGTAATTGCACGAGGCAACTTCTATTACACGTACATGGGGCTTCGCGGAGCGCTGACAACACGTGCCACACTTCTGCCGCATGATTTGCGTTACGTGCATGCGCAAGGATTCGCCGTGGTACACGTAGAAACTGTTCCCCGACCCGTCGACTTCGCGGTTGCTCTCCCCAGCTTTCGTGCCAGCAAATCGGAGGCTGCACAAGACTTTCACCCGTGCTCGAGGCTGAAAAAATACCCTGACTGTTTCGCTGGGAAAATTAAAAGCAGCGCCGATCCGACGAGATAACGCGCGACAAGATTTCCTCGTTTCGAGGATTTGTGTTCCGGTATCCGCGCGCCATCTGGAGCAATTTCGAACAAATTGGAAAGCTTTGTTCTTCTTTAAATGATTCTCTGGACATTCAGACGTAACGTAAAAAAGGTCGCATTGGAATGATCGTCGTAGGAATAAAAATTTGCCAGTTGGATGCAAAACTTGTGCGAGTACCATTTTTTTAAATTCGTCCTAGCATAAATTTTCCCTACATAATCACTAACCAAATTTGCTAGGTAAAGGATTGATGGAATTTTTAACGAAACTTGATCAAATTTTCATTGAATTTGGCAGATATTGGTCTTAATAAGTTGCCTGTTAGTGGATGTAGGTTTTTCTTTATTTGGATACATAGTTTTCGAGATATAAATCAGAGATCTTCTATTCTTAATAAAACGCGAGGAACGTGTAAACTTTTACTATTCCAGTATTATTCCATTTGTCACAAAAATCGTATGTCGACAACTTTGCGTCGCGAATAAGAGAATGTTCCTTTAAATAAAGCTCTCAAAAAGTCGAAGTAAAGACACATATCGAGTATACAACGAGTCTAACCGAATCCCCACCATATTAACCCTAATATTCTTAAAGCACTAAAATTGCACTTCGAGCTTCCCAGACAAACTCGCAGAATATCTTCGTAGAAATCGCTCGGTCTTCCGCATCGATGCTAGATCGGCCACGAGAGAAAGAAAAATCGATAAAAATCACCGGAAATCCCAGCGGAGCGACGTCCTCTTGCGAAACGTTCGAGACGAGACAGTTTCCTCGCGTGCTACGCTTCCCCGAAATTAATTACCTCTCCTTTCCCCCGGCGGCGTTTCGAAATTCGCAATTAAGTTGCACCGACACGCTCCTCTCTTTGCCGCGCCGGCGCTAATTAATTCTTCGTCCTTTTGCTTCGGCGGTGGTAGCGCGAAGTAAACGTAAAACCGAGTTCTAAAGGTACGTAACTCGGCTACACGTTATGAAGATAATATCGATGCTCAGTTTATACAGTTAGACGGTCGAGGCGGGCAGCCCTTGTCCTGCGAAGATATACGAGGCTGGATTTATCGCGAACGTTAACGTGCGCACGGGGTTGGGGAAAACGTTTCGTCGGGGACGTTCAACCGGTTTACGGACCAACAGGTCCACGGTCAAATCGAATAATCTCGTTAAAACCGTTCTTACGGTTTGGGACACCCTTAACGCTGCTCACCGTCGATTCCGGATCGCGGCGAGAAATATGGCAAAAAATCTACGTGTTACGAGGGGGGCTGGAGAGGTAGGAGGAGAGGCGTAGTTACGTCGGCGAAGGCGGAGTTATTTTAACGAATGTAATTATCCGGACGACTCGCCCGATTATAAGCGTACGAAACGGTCGACCGCTTCTGCGCGGTTGGGGGGCAGTTCCGACCGTTTCTTAGCGACCATCGCCCAGCGTGATCGTATCGGGATCCTACTATTAGTACGGTGATATATGTCATCATTATATCCTCCTTATTGCGTTAACCGCATCCTGTGATTTATGTCCAACGACCTGCTTCACTTCCGTTCTTTTTCTCTCGTTTATGCTCGACTCGTTTCGCCAGCGATTCCGTTTGATATAACGTGCCAATGTGGTCCCACGATGTTTATGGTTGTTCCTTTATACGTGTTCTATGCTTGTTTTACTTTCTTGTGATATCATTCACCCACTATATTGGCTTCTGTGCTGCAACTGTTAGGATATTTACTGTAATTCAACCTTTATTTTAATATAAAAGTAGAAAGTTTAGGATATGGTCTGTCCTCTCAAGTACCATTGAGGGCCCCTTCTTGTAGTTTCCCGTATTCTCCCATGAACCTCGCGTAAATCTCTCGTAGTCGAACTGACCGATTATACGCCGTCTTACAGACGCAAGAAGCCAACGTAAACAGAAATTTTTGTACAGAAGAATACGATACTAGCCTCTTGGTATCCGAAGTTGTGGCAAATTCTTGAAATATTCCCGGGAGGATTCCCAGAAAACTGTTGAAAAAGTTTGGCTATTCATGTGGGACACCGTTGGCAGCTGTTACGGAAGACACGGCGCGCCTGACGTGATTCACATCGTGTACGCGAATAGCGGTAGTGCTTGCACAGTAAACATCGGGAATATTGGTATAATATGTAGATCTAAGCATGTACGTGGGTTGTCGGTAATGCTCCCATAAATCAGGCCCTCCATTGTTTTCCTTCATTGAATGACCCGAGCGTTGCTGCACGGTAGTCTCTCCCGCATTCCATATTTCTGTTCGGTATATTGCTGGCATCCGGTATAAATCTTAGCGTTTCGAGCATTAAGACTTTCTTATTGGAAGCTCGGTCCTGGATCGTTTTTCAGCGTCGTTTTAGAGCAGGTGCGGAACTCTCTGGCTAGGCTTTCGATTAATCATCCACCTTCTCGTCGATACAATTTACACGGATGAATGGAGAAGTGTTGTCAGTGGATGCAGATTCGAAATATTTCTCTGTAAGCTATTTAGTATTAGGGCGAGAGAGTGGAATTGGTATTCTGAGCGTGATTCTTTGACTGGTGTGTGATTGTTGAAGCAGAGTCAAACTGCTTTGAGATTCTCACTATGAGATACTGACTGTAAGACCCCTAACTCTATGATTCCGACTCCGAGACTCTGACTTTAGGGCGAAACAGTTATGGAAGCAGAGAGATGTTGAAGCTGGGACTCTAACTCTGAGACTCGGACCCTGAGGCTCTGATTCTGAGAGAAGCAGATGTTGAAGCTGAGACTCTAACTCTGAGACTCTGATCCTCGGATGTTGAAGTATTCGTTGTACATGCAAGGAGCGACGTAGTATTATAAATAATAAACAAAGTGTACAGCAATGGGTGGAATAAATTGGAGCGAGGTTTGAGATATTTCTCTGTAACCAATTCAACTCTAAGAGTAGTCAATGGATTTCTTCATCTAAGTCTAATTCTTTAAAATAGAGTCGAAGCATTGGTTAACCATGGAGAGATATTTTTCTGCAAATAATTGTGCTCTAGTTATAATGAATGGGTTCATTTTACTAACCCGAACACTTTGACTTGCGTGTGCTTGAGAGTCAAAGCATTCATTGTACACATGTAAACTTACACGAAACAGCAAGGAGTGTCACAGAGAGCAGATATTCAGTCGCCTCACCGTCCGAAATCATCGATCAAAGTATCGTTGCTGCAAGTATCGCGAGGTACGAAATCGGATTACCAAGGATCGGAGCGTCCACGGAGCGCGTAATCAACGCGGTTGCACGATTAACGTTATAAATATTCCGCTAATGCGCCACGTTGCGCAAGAGTTTCACCTCCTTATTGCTACCAGCTGCACACGGAGAGTCGGGCGCTCGCATTCGTCGATGATTTCATACGTTACTTCTAAAGCCGCCCCGCATGCTGCACTTCATGCAAGTGGAGGGGGAGAGGGCGGAGGTATATCTCTGAGTCGCGTTGGAAATCACTTTCATAGTCCCGTTTTTAT